TCGACAAGAAAAAATACTCTTGATTCAATCGGATTTTTGCTTACATCAAGAACCAAGCCTCTTAATTTGAGCGGATTTCCTTTCGATTTAAGCTTGAATCTGATTGAATCAAGAGTATTTTTTCTTGTCAGTGTTTTTAAGAGTCTAGACTCTAGATCCAATGTGTTTTTTTCCCCAGTGTACACTGTTTAACTTTTGGTTTAGACAACCTCAATGACTGCGAATGAAAACATTTTCACGTGAAAGATTAAAATTGCCTTCATCTATGTCATCTGCGCGTTATAACTGTTATCGTCCTGACGTTATATGTCAATCAACCACCCACTCAAGACCGTGTCATAAACGTGAACGTCATCTGAAGTTTTAACTCGGGAAATTGATTGCATCCCACAATCAGTCCTACTATTTTTGAGGACTTCTTTAGATAATTAAGAATACAGTTGGAAAGCTCAACTTGAGACGGGGGACTCGCTGCAAACTTGACGAGTTATCTCGTTGAATGAAACACGTCAAATTAGTCGTCTGACGTCGCGAAAATTTCAGGAAGCCTTTTATCCTGGATTCGAGTGCTGCGGCGATTTCATTACATAGTTTCAGAGTCTTTCTTATCGCACTGAAAAAAAATCTCGGTGTATTTACTATGAAAAGGGTAGAATTACCAAGAATTCAGGGTTCTATTTGATCCCAGTTTTTTCTTGGTTCCGAGAAATCTCGGTAAAATTATTGAACTTTCTCGGTAATTTTACTGGAAAAAACGCCAATATTTTTTATCGACTGTGGTAGAATTACCGAGGTAAAATGGCAAAGTTACCGGGAATTGATTACCAATAAAAGTGGTATTCTTACCTGAAAAAAAACAGTAAAATACCGGTTTTTAGGTAAGCTTACCAGTCTGTCTTGGTAAAAGTACCTATAATTGGTAAAAAAAAAGTGAGATGGTAAAGGTACCAACGGACCTTGGTAAAAACGCCGAGAATTTTTTTACAGTGCGGGTGAAAAGTTCTTCTAAAGTCTGAGAAATCGTGGAAAAATCGATCAATTCTTTTCGACCGCGAAAAGACATATGGAAAGGACAGGAAATATTGCTGACCAGATACGTTTACCGACACACAAAAACAACAACCAAGGGGGATTTCGGCCAAGGAATAATCATGTCGATTTTGTTCTCCTTTAAACAATTAAAATATCATTGGAGATTCTTAAACACTGTCAACGAGATACGTGGTTTGGGATTTTCACCGTCGATATATTGTTTAAAACCCTTGAAAATCAGGAATTTTTAAAATTCAAAGATACATGTCTCCTAGTCGTGTTTTCTGATTATTTAAAAAAATTTGAATACCGTGTCAAGTTTTCAGTGTTTCGACTACTAGTCGAGCGATGAATTCCCCCATACTGCACCGAATATTTGTTGCCTGCTTTGACTGCGGTTTTGACTTATTTTCATGTCAGCACGGTGTGACAAAACAAAGCGGATAAGATCTTAATTTTTGAAGAGCTTTCAAATCTTGCTCAAGAGCTTAGAGCTTACCAATCCAAAATTGGACCGCAAGTCGACTTTAAGTGGATTGATTTTAAAATCCGAGCTAAGCACTCAGAAATAAAGAGCATGTTTCGCAAATTTCCGGCAGGTCGGCGCGTTCTGTGTTTCGTAAAGAGTTGTCAAGGTTTCTTCTTTTCTGCGAAACCATCAAGTGAACCGATGAATATATGTATAGGTACTAGCTTCACGTAAGCCGAGATATTTCACCGGCGCACCCAAAATACGAAGTTTAACTCGGTGCTTTAAGGAAAATCGTGACTAAAACACTATTTCACGGATACTAATGGAAGCATTAAGGTGTGCAAATGAGCTAACGGTCAGTTGTGAAATCTACATTCTCCACTTTTTACAAAATTTTTGTTCGTGCTTTGTGTCAATTCTCTCCGCATCTCATAGAGAACCCCACTCGGTAGTACTTATAGTTTACATTGTGATTAAAGTAGGTTCAAGGGTAGGAAACCCTCGAAATAGTATAATTTAAAGGGCATTTTTTGCTAACTTCGAGTGAAATTCAGCAAAATAAATGTGGAAATTGAGATTACAATAATTTTCCCCCACGAAAATTGCAAAATACGGTAGAAAAAATTATACGATTTTGACAAACTTTAATTTAGGTGCAAGCCAGCTTTAAAATTTACAAAATCGCAATATTTTTTCTTTTGTATTTTGTATTTTTCTGTAGAGGGGTAAGTCAGTAGAATCCCTTTCAAGACCCCACTTTCAAAGTTTTACCGCTGAATTTTACTCAAGGTTGACTAAAATTGTCCTTTCTATGTTACTACGTTAAAGATCCCCTTAAACCTTCTTGAGTCCGATTTTGAACCATATAATACCTCCTTAGGAAGGGAGGCCTTTAAGAAACGACCATGGTTACAACGCTTAGCACTCGCTAGCCCTAGGGGTAACAAGTACCTAAAGGAAAAATGCAATTCCCGGAAAATTCATGAAAAATCCCCTGGAGGGGCCATCCCTAAATTACACTGTAAAAAAAGTATGGTAACATCCACTGAAAACCTCCCTGATTTTTGACACAGTGATACTATTTAGTAAAAATAACCAGAATTATAATAGTAATATTCACCAGAACTCTGGTGATACATACCATAATATGGTAAATGCTACCCTAGAGTTTGGTGTTAATTCACATTCTCATATCACTGTGTCAGAGTATGGTAAAATCCACCATATTTTTTCTTTTCAGTGTACATAACGCTCTAGGGAGGAGGGGGACTCGAGGAACGCGTTACGCCATTTTGTTCTTACGTGTTAAAGGATAGGGATCTACGTCACAAAATCGTTACAAGAGTGGGGGGGGGCGTGTAAAAATGCCGAAAAAGTGCGTTACGTAATTGGACTAAAGTTTGCAATTTGGAACTATAAATTCTAGCCCGGTTTAAAAACAACGTATGTGCCATTAGTTTCCCTATGCACATAAGTGTTTTTCCAGAAGAACCAGACTTTATAGTTCCAATTTGCAAAATGCAGTCCAATGTAGGGACGCTCCCGAAGGGCCGAGATCCACGTGTTTTCATTTTTTTTCCCCACGCAAATAGGTTTTTATTGTGGATGAGTTAGACACAGTGGCTCCTCTTCGCAAAATGCAATCTGCTTGGCCATTCGTCAGGCTATGCAATTTTTTCCGGCTGAGCACGGCCTTGGAAGTCTGTCGCAGCATCGGAACAGGAAGGCCTCGCACTTTACGGACCAATGAACTTTCGAACACAATGCCAGGCTCGGCCAAGCAGAAGCGTTCACAAGGGGCATAGAAACATCCACGGCCGCCGCCACGCAAATCGATAGCTACGCGTCTTCGCACTTAAATTTTTTTCAGTCGCGCATGAAAGTCTATCCAACATTCAGCGTTGTGGAGACTTTAACGGCGAGAGGGTTGAAATACTCCTTTCTTCCCATTTTCCAAGGAAGTCGTCAAATATACTCCCCCTGGGCAGTGGAATTTCATTGATCATGAAATTCCAACGATTTTTCAGGGGCTGCGAATGCAACCCGCTACAATTATCCGCGAATTCGTAAAAAAAAAATCAATTGAAATTAATGAAAATTCGTGAAATTTTTTACAACTTCTGCATTATACTCAGAATTCTATGCAAGTCATAGAATTCTGAGTCTTAAGCAGAAGTTGTAAAAAATGTCACGAATTTTCATTAATTTCAATCGATACCCTGGTAAAAATTGGCTGTGTTCCAAAATACCATAGACCTGCGGCCGGCTGTAAGATTTCCAATAGCTCCTATAGCCGGCTACACAATTTCTTATAGCCTTTTATAGCCGATGGCGATTAAGCAACAGCCAGACGATAAAGTGTATGCTAAACGTTACTAATTACGGATGCTAGGACTTAGTGAGTTTATGGAATACTGCTCTCTTTTTGGGCCGTAGTATCTTGATTTATTTTGCAAGGAGAGCTCCGTACTTTTGATGGATGCCCGTCATAACTAATATATTAGAGCGCCTTCAGTTTCGTATGATGCTGTGCAATACCTCTGATGTGTAATAGTTGCTTCAAGTGCCGTGGAACGCTGCGGCGCGGCGCGCCAGGCGGGCAGCCAGCGCGAAATGCGCATTGGCGCCTACAGACCTAACGGGGATACTTCACGCGTTGCGCAATGCGTGAAGTATCCCTGTTAGGTTTGTAGGCGCCAGTGCGTCGCCGCTCCGCTTTGTGTTACGCTCTAATATTTAATCTGGCGGAGTCAGCGTTATTCAACACATGATTTTGAAATGTTTGCGCATCCTGTATGGATTCTCATTTTTATAATTGATGAAAAAATAATATGTATTAATGGAAAATATAATGTGTGTTTAGTAAATATTAAGGTGGTTATCAAACTTAATGATTTCCAAAGCACACGAATTTCTACACAATTTCTTATAGCCTTTTTTAATCGATGGCGAAAAAGCAACAGTTAAGCGATAAAGTGTAAAGCCCGGCGATAGGCCCGGCTGCATAATTTTTTATCGCTTCGTATAGCCCGGCCGTATGATTTTCTCCGCATTCTACAGCCAGCTATATGATTTTCTGTAGCCTTCTTTAGACGGCTATAAGAATTCCTATGGTATTTTGAATCGCAGCTCTTATCGCCAATTTTTACCAGGGTAAAGTTTCATGAAATTTTAAACGGGCCGTAAAGAATTTTTCTTGACACAATCAATAAATTCTGTATTCGGCCAAAATCGAAGCGTCGCACGCATGCCCAGAATATTGACGATCTTTGGCCTTTTTTGACGTTCTATCATCTATGAGAGAAGATTAGTCTCTCGTCTGATAACAGTAGTAGGCCTTCCGAGGTTGCAAAATTCAATTTTAACGTTCATGCAACCTACACTTCGGTTGCTTCTTGAATAGAATGACAAATTTCCCGATAAAACCGGCCGCAATATGAATTTTTTGACTGGAGTTCAGTTGCTTCAGCTCTGCTTCAAATCCTTATTTGAAGTTCTGCACAGCTCGCGAGTCAACTTTTTTGTTGAATGAGTTGAAAAATAATCACAAATTTGCACTAAAATAAACCTTGTTTCGCAGTATCTCGTTGCCTTATCAGTGCGGTTCAGGTATAGTGAGCTCTGCGCCTGTGTCGGTTCAATATCTTAATTTTCTTTCAATTTTTTAAGCGTTTTTCCCAACTTGCATTACCTCTGTCGTTGATAAAATATTGGCAGTATGGGCTGCATCGCATCTTTGCCTGTGCCAAAAGTAATGTCTCGGCGTCGTAAGTACTCGCGAATTTTGACCGGAAAGGAATCCTCGTCAAGGTGAGGTGAAACTTTCATGTTTTCCAGTGTCCTTTTCCGATGCGCGAGCTTAAGGGTTTTTCGGACAGGGCCGGATTTACATTTTTAGCGCTGAAGTTGGCTTACAGCTTCTTAAATGAGATCCCAAACAAGGATCCATGACAATAAAAAAAAAAAGTTTTCATGGCAATTCTCTAGTTGCGCGATAGAAAATATCAATAGTTGCGTCAGGAACGCGACATATTATGCCCAGTAAAAATTTAATGTTGATGGTAACGTATGTTTCCCGGTTACAATGAAATTTCTTAGTCGTCATATCAGAAAATTTTTATTGTAAGCAGTGCCGTATTTACTTCTTTGGCGCCCCCTTCTCTTTTTATTTGTTTTTGTTAAATATGATTATCTAATTTTTCTCAGTATGGAAATATCAAGAATGGGCAAATTTTCATTCAGTGTTTTAATTATAATCTGACTGAACACAAATGGCGTTTCTGTGAAAGTTTTGCCAAGTGAAAATTGTGTGCGCTACCTCTACTTACACCCTTTAAGCTATCCCCAAAATCTACGCAGCTCTCCAGATTTTTTCATTGTTGTTTTTTTTTTTGTGTGTTTTAGAAGAAAGATGAGGAGCCCTGGTTTGGTGTGGACAGTTATTCTGGTGCTGGTGATTTTCTCCTTATTTGTCAGTGTGTTGTACTACAGAAGTAGTTCGGAAGACGAAGCTACAATTCTTCCAGACCCCGATCATGAGCAAAGCCCTTCTCCTACCCCCATGGGCACTTTTAAGGAAGCTGCTGTCGTCACCAACGCAGCAGTATGTGCTCCTGTCGCAAGGTAAAAATTTTGTAGTATGCTTCTGGAAAGACGAAAAATTTAGTATTCGTTTATACTTTATGCAATTAAATAAAGAAAAGAATAAATAAGTTTTTATTCGTGTATAAAAGCCTTGTAGAGCTGTGGTAAAATTCAGTACAAGAAAGAAACAAAAAAATTAAGAAGTACAAAATGCCAAGAGAACTGTTGATAATAAGCAAAGAAAGAAGAGAAAATAAAATATAGGAGGCTGGGAGATAGCTATGAAGTCCAAGAGAAGACACTGTTGAACCTATCCATTCAACAGCTCATGAATAGAGTAAAAGGCTTCAGAAAGAATAGAACGTACAGAGGTTGTTCAGGAACATAGTTAATTTCCCCACTAGAAAGAGTATTTCAAGCTCTCATGGGAGGGCATTGAATATTTAGATAGACGAGAAGTGAAGTGTACTAAAATTGCAAAAAGATACTTTGTATCTCTGCTTTAAATTTTGTGTCCTAATTGGACGGATCTAGCTGGAGTCAGACAAACCACATCAGATACTCACTAAATTTCTCTCATGTTTTACCTCTTTAACAGCAAAGCGTGTATATTCTGGCTTGAAATTTTGTGATTATATTTTTTATAACCTAAGGAAAATTTGCAAAAATTCCCAAGGAATTACAATTCTTACTTTTCTATTATAGAAGTTAAGTTTGAGAGGAAAATTATTTTAATAGGCACAATCAGTAAAGTGCAATTAGACTGATTATGGTAAATTCTGTCCAATTTTCAATGCTTTACAAGGAATGTAAAACTTTTGAAGCATTTTAGTCAAGTCTTAGAAGACAAATGGATCATTTTGAAAAAATGAATGCTCTGTAAAAACTATTCCGATATAGAAGTTCCGTTTGGATAGTTTTTTCACTGTATTTTTTTTCTTTTTAGGTATCTCAGTTGAAAATTGTTTTTCGTTTCTCTCTTATCCAATAACAATAATTTTATGGCACTTTTATCTTTATTTCATGATACTCACAAATTATGAGAAAGTTTCCCTATGATTATACATCGTCTGGTCTTGTTTCTAATGATCCTTCTTTTTTCGTTTCAGAAATATTCTGAAAAGAGGTGGAAATGCAATCGACGGGATAATTGCAGCAGCTGTGTGCGATGGTGTAGTTTTCCCACAAAATACAGGGCTAGGTGGCGGTTTTGTAATGGTTTACTACAACAAGGCTGAAAATAAAGTCTATTCAGTCAATGCCCGAGAAATGGCCCCTGGTGCAGCAACAGAAGACATGTTCCACGGAGACAAGGACATTTCTCAGAGAGGTAATCACTTAAAAGAGCTTTAAAAAGCTGATCACATCAGAATAATTGACTCAACTGAAAATTGAGGAGTCAAACTGTAAGCTAAAGTAAAAAGAAAATGAAATGTTGTAAAAATGTAAAATTGGAGAAAGTAAAATTTAAAACTTGCCTTAAAATATAGTCTTGCCTGAATTTAAAAAAAAAATGCTCTTTTCTCAGGGTTAATTCTCCAATAAGTGATAAAGGATCTAGTTCTCTGGTAGTTACTTTTTCGCTCCCTCTTAACCAGAAGGTGAATTCCTTAAAAAATCTAGGGGAAAAAATTATAATGAGTATCCAGCCGTTTGAAAACTACAGGGGTGCATAATAGTAATTTTAAACCTGTTTTAAACCTCTCTTTAAGGTAATATATTTCAAAAGTATGAACTCATTTGAAGTTTTATATATTTCGGGAAAACAAAGTTTGCCCTACCTATGGAGGCAAAAAAGACTCAAGACAGCTAAGATCTCTGCATTTTTGCTTTTTGTTGATTATCAACCATAATGTCGCCAACTTTAAATTCTGCTTCTTATCATCCAAATGATTGTTCAGTGTCAAGAATATAATCTCATTCTCGTCGAAATCGTCTAATTCATTTTTATTTCCAACAGGTGGTCTATCAATTGCAGTTCCAGGAGAGTTAAAAGGCTTTTGGGAAATTCACAAGAAGTTCGGAAAATTAAATTGGAGTGAACTTTTCAACGAAACGATCAATTACTGCCGGAATGGATTCCCTGTCACAAAATATCTAGCGGAACATGCTAGGAACTATGCTCCCAAATATGAAAAATTTACGCTTTTGAAGTGAGTGCCGTCTCCAATCTGCAAAGGGCTGTCCATAAATTGCGAAATATTTTTTTCATGCCTTTCTTCAGTCCCAATAAATTTTTGTTGGCTCATGTTGGAATACAAAGCTGTCAGTCCTGTTCTCCCCACCTTCCTCCCTCACAAATCAAATAATTTTTGGACAGCCCTTTAATCAAATTTTTCATGTGTCGCACTAACTCTTTTGAAATCTTTACTTAACTTAAACTTCCTGCTTGCGAAAAAACCATGATCAACTTAGGCCAAATAAAATATTTATACCAACTGCTACGTTAGGCAAATAAATAGAGGTTGGTTTCATGCACATTCCCTCCCTTTTCTCTTACAAGATAGTTTTAATCTTGTCTAAAAGTTAGCACAAGGGTAAATTCTTCTACCGTAAAACATACCAAAATTAGTTTTGTGCTTGATTTAACTTGAGTAGATTCTGGTTTTACTCTGCCTGAGAAACGTAAATTAATGTAGGCAAGAGCAATTAATTTCTCACTTATGAATTGAACTCGGAAAGTTTTCATGCATCCATCTTATTCAACGTAAATGTCAATATAGAAACATATACTGTGGTGCTTTATTATGTACCCTGTCTTCAGTGACAATTTCTGAAAGTTGGCAACACTTTAAATGTAAATTCCATTTAAATGTATGTAAATCAAACGATCTTTGATGAGGCAGCTTACCTCACCTAAAACCGATATTTTTAGTGAACTTAAATGGGAGAAAAACAATGTTGCCAACTTGCAAAATCGCCTTTGCCTGTCTTGTGCTCAATTTCTGTTCCGCAGAGAAAGTCAGGAAAAATTCCACAAAAGTAAGCTCATTTGTTTTCCTTAAAAAAGTAAAATGTTACCCAAAGTCTTCAACATCAGAAATCGAGGTTCATTTTCTCCAGTGTGCACCGTCGATTCAAAACTCTGTGAAATCAAATAGGTAATCATGTAATTTTTTTTTCTTTTTCCAGAGAAATGCTGACAAATCCCGAAACAGGGAAGCTCTATGAAGAAGGGGAGTTAATGCGGCGCTCCAAACTAGCAGATACTTTGGAAATTTTCCAGAAGGAAGGTGGTGATGCACTGTATACAGGATCATTGTCACAATGTTTTCTCCAAGATTTGAAAAATGCAGGCAGCATTATTACCGCAGATGATTTAGCCAAGTACACGTAAGTTTCCCAAACATAAGAGTGGTCAGAGTAAAGTTAATCTCGGAATCATTTTTAATTTTGTTGTTTATTGTTGTCACCCAAACTCAGATTTTATTTGGAATTTTCCTCTTCCACTTCCGAACCACTTTCAATGGAGTCACATTGTAGGAGGAGTGATATGTGGTCCTCAAAATGCCTTCATTCATTCGACTATGCAGTTACAAGCCTCTGTGTCTTTACACAGATCGCAGGGAGACGACTGGTTTAAAAGGTTAAAACCCCTCAATGACGTTTAAAGAATTATTTTATATTTTGTTTCGATAAAAACCCTGGTGACTTAACTAGACTATGTCTCCAAATCAGATGAACATCGATCAGTTTATTTGCATCATTCGTCAATTAGCCTTTCCCCCAATCCCGCACCTTGTATTACAATCAGCCTTGTGTTCTGGCAGGCCCCCTTTCAAAGGCAGGAAACTGCTGTTTCTGGATTAAATGAGGTAGGCAAGAATACCCTTGAAGAATCAAGGGAAAGAAATGAGTCACAGAAGACCGGGAAAAGTCAGAAAATCGAGCAGAAAGACCCAGAAGACAGAGAAAAAAATGTGTTCACAGAAACGGAGAATACAGACAAACGGTCAGAGCAACAACTTTGACCCCACTATAAAGTTTTTTTCCATTAATCAGTTGTGAACGCATTGTGCTCTAGTACATATATCCCTGCAGACTGATTGTTGAAATTTTGAGTTTGTTGAATAGACCAGACAAAACTGGGGTGAAATGGAGTTGTGTGGTTGGTCGTCTGATGGAGGAAATACTAAATTAAGTAATTTCTCAATTTTATTTTTTCTTCACTGACAAATCACTTAATTTTTAACATTTTTTCCTTCTCCTTAGGGTTCACATTCAAGAAACTCCAACGTATGCTTCTCTAAAAGACAATATGACAGTGTATGGAGTTCCTCTACCTGCCTCTGGGCCCATCGCAACATATATCCTCTCCATACTAGACGCTCTGCTTCCTGGTGAAGATCTCCCCACAGACTTTACAAAAATTGCTGAAGCATTCAAATTTGGTTACGGTCGGCGATCAGAATTCGGTGATCCTGAGTTTGTTGATGTTAAAAACGTGAGTTTCATTGTTTCCTACTTATTTGAATAGTTTTTAGCTGAAAAAAATAGCTTAAAGCAAGACACAAAAAAATATGAAGAATATATTCCCCTAAAAAAAAACGAGTGGACGGAGAAAGGGACTAGCTTCAGCTCTTCCGTCAAAATAAAGTTTTGTCCGGTTGAATTGCAACCATCAACACGTATTTACAGGTCCCTAAAATCGGCAATTTTCAGTGAATTTCATCAGGTCGGAAAATTAGGGAATTTTATGAAAAAGACTGAAATATTGAAAAATTTGAAAATTGAAGTTGAAAAAAAAAAAAAAACAAGCAGTGAACTCCAACACAATGTGTTGATAAGGCGCATCATTAACTCGCACATATCAACCCCTTTAGTTTTCATTTACAGAGATTTCAAAATAGGCAAACAGCATAAAAAGAGAATTCACGATCCAACACTGCGAGGTCAAAGACGCACCTTGACGAGACCGTGTATTGTGAAAGTAGAAAGCTATTCGATCGAATTTAAGTTTTTTGATCTGCCTCAAGCAAAATCTTATCAGATTCTTGAAGAAAAGTGCTACGGAATAATTTAAGCGAAGAAAGGAAAAATTCTGTCGAACTCCTAGAAGATAAAGTCGATTTAAAGGTATTTTGGGGCTAAAATACCCAAATCACCGGTAGTAAAAATCCCGTTATATTATTGAAAAGAAATTGACTCGATATAAATGCAATTGCATTAAATACGTCTTGATTTTGTTATTTTAAACGTCTTTCCATGCAAAGAAGTTCAACCATGTCGTTGCTTTATTCATTCATGAATTGAAAGTAAGCAATCTACATCCCGAAAATCTACTGATTTGCCGTAAAAAATTGCAGAAACTTGATATACCAGGTCGATGCACCCACTCGTTGAATTTACCAACCAATTTTGTGAGTGCAAATGTGTAAGAATCAATATGCTATAGTCATTTTGGGTGCATTTATTTTTCATGAAACAATAATAATTTCAATCCCGAAAAACCATCAATTTTCCGTATAAAATCGAAAAAATCAAAATATGTCAACTCCCCGACGTGAAAATTAGATTCTACGTATGTAAAATGTAAATACTTATGTATCGATATGCTGAACAGAACTATGTGTGGACAGTCAGAAGCCCGCGGCAACATTAATTCAACAGAAAAACTGTAAAAATTAGATAGGATTTTAGCCGCTTTGCCCGCCTCTCCTCGCTACTTACAACAAACCGTTCTTATACTCATCTCAAAATTTTTCTCAGAGCTTTGGGTTATTATCAGCTTCCATTTAAACTCCGGTTCGATGGCCGAATCGGCTGCCAAAAAAGCAAGCCACTGTTGAGGGGTTCTATGAGAAATTCGTGATATTATCGGCTCTCAGGAAATCACCCCATGGCTAAAATTGGTGGTATAAATGTTTAAGTGCTTAAAATAATCGTATTCAAGAAACTAAGGAATTAAACTATGGAGTCAATTTCTTTTTAATAATATAACGAATTTACTACCGGTGATTTAGCTATTATAGCCCCAGAATACTTTTAAAGCGCCTTTGCGTTCCAGAATCTCGACGGAATTTTTTTTTTTTTTTTTTTTGCTTAAACGATTCAAGAAACATTGTAGTTAAAAATATAAAGATTTTTCGATTTGGACGTATGAAAAATGTTTAACTCGTTCAGGCACACCGTGTATTGTATGGAGTACTGCTGTTATTCGACCGTTGTCTTCAGGTCAAAATTCTTACAAAGAAGCCCCTTGCAAGAGGCAAATTTTTTGTAATTTCTCCCAGTTTTTTCAGCGTTAGGTATATAAATGAATTGTTTGTCAAATTTTGAGGTCAATTATATTTAATTGTAATTTATACTTTCTTTTTTTCCCCTTCATTTTATTTTTCGTATCGAGGAGTCGAGGTTTTGTTGATTTCTTCGGATTTCGATTACTGTAACTTCTCTTCTATTCGGCCGATTTTTATGAATGAGGTCTCTTTTTATTTGTGTTTTAACGGAGAGTAAGGAAAAAATTGCTAAATACATGCGAAACAATTTTTTTTGAAAATTGGATGAATCCTAGCGTGACGGTGAAATGGTTAATGAAGCGTGAGTAATTGGGGTACGGGTATCGGCCGCGTTGGGACCCAAGGCCCATTGTTCTTCGTGACGCCGACGCAGTGATCAGGAGCGTGGGGACGAGAGGGCTTAGTGGACTCCTGTATGAGCCACGTTTAGCAAATGGTCTAATGAGTCTCGAGGCTCATCACAGATTGCACTTACCACTATCCTGGTGGCCCCGGCTATCAGAGCAAGGAGTACCAACTTTTGAAAAGGATAACAGTGTTGTGGAGATATGTCAAAGCAACGTTGTGAACAAAACGGAGTGAGTGAAATTCTCATTCAAGGAGTGCCGAACTGGTCAGCCATCCTCGAATCAGTTCGCTTGCTTCCGCTTATATATGCATATTTTAAATCAGCGCGCCCCATTCTAAGGTTTTTTTAAAAAAAACCAAGAAACGTAGACTCTTGGTATTCATTACACATAAACTAGCGAGCCCCAGAATGAGAAACAAATTTTAATCATTATTATTGACGGATTAGTAAACTTTTTACACGCTTTGGAAAATCTCAGAAGTTCGCGGTAGTCACTTTTCGGTAAGGAACTAGGGGACTCGGTTATTGTATCGAGGGGGGGGTCGAAACGATCGCAAAGGCGGTATACTACGTATACGCGCCAAAAAAACATCAGCGATATCCACACAATCAAACTGACAATCACATACACTCTAAATAGTGGATAGAGAAATAATTTTTAATGAGGAATCGCATTTTAGTTACTTGAATTACTAATAGCTGAGGGAAAAAGTTTCACATGTTTCTGTAGTTTGCTGCAAAGTTAGAGCCATAAATTTTTCATTTTCAGTCCTAGGTGTGCAAATTGTTGTGGACAGCTAAGAATTTTTGATCTATTTGGTGAAAAAAAACTTGGAAAAGTCAAGAATTTTTCCCCTGCTGGTTCTGTAGACACCTTTCTCAAGTTGTATAGACAAGATTTGATCTTTAATTTCCAAACGTAATACGTTAAACAAGTTCGAACGCACTCTAGCGTCTGTAGAAGTTAAGTTCTAGGAATTTTACAGACCCACTATGAAGCGTGCACTTATTTGCCCCTTCTTTGATTGAATTTGTATTTTATTCTCTTCTCGTTAATTTCATCCAGATTCTCTCTCGAATGAATGATCCAAAACATATCGAAGAAGTACGGAAGCACATTTTAAAAATGGAGACCTCTCAAGACCCAGTTTTCTACGGTGGCAATTTCTCTTTTGTAGAAGATCACGGAACAGGAAACATGGTTGTACTTGATCCCAATGGAGATGCTGTTGTTATGACTAGCACTGTCAATTTAATGTAAGTCTCGGTTACTTAAATTCCAATCACAAAAAAAATTTATATTCATCAAATCAGCTGCTGGAACAAAATCCCTGGGGTTTGTTGTCAAATGATGTATCATTTAGCTGAAAGAGAGTCTTGCAGCTCAAACATTCAAGACCCAACCAATTTTACAAAGTAAAAGGACTCCTTATGGGGATGTGCACCACAATCAATTTCCAATTTTTTTATTGCATTAAATTTGTTTTTGGATGCTGATCAAAAGTCATCATTGCGCCAACTTTCTACAAGGCACCGTTTTGCAGTATTTTGCACAATCCGAGGTGGAAGTTTCAATTTTTACTTGAATGAGTGAGGCCAGCGCAGCGATTAACAAGGAAAATCCAAGCCGGTGATAGATAAGGAAAAAAGTGGGAGAGAGAAAGAATCTGATTAGGACGGTGAAACGAAAAGGTGCACAGAATCCAAGATAAGACTGCCAGGTTCTCTTTGTTTTCAGCAAGTGCTGAAAGATAGATATCGCCTTGCTGGCCTCTCTTATTCAAGGAACAGTTGAAACTTTCATCACGGATTGTGCGAAACACTGCGAAAACGGTGCATTGTAGAAAGTTGATGCAATAATGACTTTTGATTAGCACCCAAAAATGAATTTAATGCAATAAAAAAATTAGAAATCAATCGTGGTGCACATGCCCGTAAGGAGTGTGTGGGGTGCCCAAAGGTAATGGTATTTATTTCATTATATACAGTGGGTCCCCCCTCCTTCTCCCCACTCACTCCTACAATTCAAATTTTTCCTGCCGTTGGGTTCTGGGCGTCTACGCGTGAGCAGACCGATTCTTGTCTGTTCCTGCGCAGACCCCATTCCCATGATTCGACTTGCAGAGGTGCGAAGAGTCAGTGAGCTTTTCTTTTTCCGTTCCCGGAATTTCTCGTATATCCCATCAAAATGTGAGTACATTTTCTCCGTGAGTTGGTCCCCTTTTGGGGCCAACTAGATTTATTTTCATGAGCTCCGCTCCGGTTGTTTTGCGGGTGCGAGTCTTCCTTTTTTTCAGTTAGTCATTCTTCAGTGTTTCGTCCTGTGTTCGCTTAGGCCCACGGCATGGCCTGCTCAACATATCCTCTGTGTTCATTATTTGTTGTTCGTCATCCCGACTAGTTCCTATTATCTTTATTCTATAGTACAGTTTAGCCGGACCTGTACAATTATTTAATCAATTGAAAAATCCCTCCTTTTTCATTGTACTTTCATTTTATTCTTGACCATTTCAGTTTCGGAAGTTTTGTTGTGTCGCCTTGTACTGGAATCGTTTTGAATGATGAAATGGATGATTTTTCTTCACCATCCATCATCAACTATTTTACTCTGCCTCCATCGCCAGCAAACTTTATAAGACCCTACAAACGACCCATGTCTTCCATGAGTCCGCTGATTGTTTTGGACAAGAATCGTGATGTGCGACTTGCTGCTGGTTCTGCGGGAGGCTCAAAAATCACAACTGCTACCTCTCTGGTGCGTATTGGCACATTTGTTTAAGCAATCACTTTGGCAATAAATTTTATGGTATATTTGGAGTTGCTACATCCCAAAATCTAAATTTTAGAATCTGTAATCCAGTATTAATACTATCACCAGTGATTGTATTTGTTGAATTTAATGTAATTAAATCGCAACTGTCGATTAACTGGCAATCTAAATTTTTGTCAAGAAATATGTTCGTTAGTGTTGGGATAGAAGCGTGTTTTGCTACTATGTCGGAATAAAAGTGTGCTTACCAAATTGGATGAAAGCACTATATCGGAATAAAAGAGTTTTTACTAATGTTCTTTCGGCACCAGTTGATTTTATAGTTTAACCAACAAACTGATGATGGATAAGTGTTGAGGAAAAACACGAGAGTTGTTGATATGTATACTAAGCTCTTGTATACTTTATTCACTGTCTCCTTTCAAAGTAAACAGACCTCCTTTCTCTCAACAAACTCTAAATCCTTTGTGTGTAATGCCACCTATATGTTGAAGCTATTTTTGAAAAAGAATCATGAAAGAGTCTGGACTGCTAAGTGTCTCTGTTTTCTATGCGTCATTCATACATTTTGCCTGAAAATATTCAGTTCTCAATGGTTACGTTAAGATTATCTCTCTACACAAATTATTTCATTATTTAATGTATGTTTTCAGGTCACAATCTTGAATCTGTGGTACAATAAAACCATCAAAGAAGCCGTTGATTACCGGCGTATTCATCACCAGCTGTATCCCATGCATGTCAGTTATGAATTCGGACTCATGCGAGTAAGTTCCTTTTCTTCTTTCGTAAACCTCTTTCAGTTGATCGCAAGATTTATAATAACATGTAGCCTACCATGGTGTTTCAGGTATTCATTTCCCTCGATGCCAAGGCGATGTCTATCCCTCTTGAAACAAAAAAACAAAAAACAATAGCTCATTGTTAGTGGTGCATTATTCCGCTAGGGCTATTCTGGTCATGAGGTATCATCAGCCAGTCTTTCAAAGATAGATGCATTAGAAAAGAAAAATTTTGAACAGACTTAAAAACAAGCAAAATGACCATGCACTTAAACATTTTACAAATAAAGGCTGTAGCAAGTTTGATCGGAGTAAAAAATCTCAACAGGTTATCCAGAGGCTAACCATACAGGCCTAAGAAAGAACCTACAGGCTTTTTGTGGCAAAAATATATCAAGAAAGCTCAAAAAATCCAATTTTATTCCTGAATGAGCCATACTTTTAGCAGTAATTTGAGTCACCATTTAGTTAACAGAATCCTTAAGACAGACAAATTATGCCTTTTTTTTAAAAAAAAATTTAGCTTATAAGCGGTCTATCACTATGTAGAAAAAATAATCCAAATTATATTTGAGGATATGACAAAATCAGGAATGTATATGGATTTTTCTTTTAAACCAACATAGATACATATTTTCAGTGAAGTAACACATCTTTTTTTGTATCATTAGCAGTGATTTTAAAAATTTATATTGATTTTTCAGAGCATTGTAGAAGCAATGAAGAAGGCAGGTCACAAGCTTGATCGATTAACAGACGGATCGCATTTCGGAACTGCAGTGACAGCATTAGCCAAAAAAGACGGTCTAATAACTACTTCCTTTGATTTTCGAAGAGTCGGAGGTTGGGCAGGTTTTTAAGTGCCCAAATCTTGCGGTCTCGTACTTTGTACCTGCGTGCTGTGAACTGTGATTTCATTCATTCCATTTCTAAGCGTATTTTTTGTACAAAAATCTCTTTAATTCCGGCCAAGAATGTTCTGACGCTGTCATCTTGTTTTCTTGCGTCCTTTAGACAGCTTTTCATTAATTTTGAAAGGAAAATGACAAATGACATGTACCATTTCTTTTGTACAAAAAATTCGCCTCATACTTTTCATGTTATTTATATTTTTTCCCCCTTAGTCCTATGTTTATGTTTTAAGTTTAAACATTCCTTTGTTCAACATTTCATCCTTGTCAGGCCTGAGAAGTCCTTTGAATAGACTTTGTATTAGCATGAAGGTCTTCATGAGGAAACTGATTGAATCAGATCTTGACTTAAGTCCTCTCAGTTGTAAGACTGCACTCTGATTTCCTATATGTATATCATATTGTTCTTTGTTAAGTAAAACAGCTCTTATTTTTTTTTTTTTTTTTTTTTTTTTTTTTTTTACAGTCAGTTTGGTCAAAGCTAACCATAAGGCTGTTTTCATCCATCATTCATAAAACTTGTCACTAAACTGTTTAGATAATTTGTCCTTGAGGGACGTTTTTATTCGCTGGAAAAAGAACAAAGTATTTTTTAAAAACCCTCTTTTGAGAGAGAGAAGGGATTAAATATTTATCAGTCCAAGTTTGTTCACTCGTAATTAGCCTAAAAGAGACGAAACCAAAGAAAACAGCCTTTCATATTGATGTTTTGTCCTTGTCTCATGTAGACCTAAATTTTTTTTTTTTATAATTTATTTTAAACTTGTTAGGAGTGAGTAGATTGAAGCTGTTGATGCTTTTTTTCCGAATCAGAAAAGCTGTTAAATGTGAGGAGGTTATTTTTAAAAATCAACCTTTAAAAAAAATGTCGGTCATAGATGAGGTAGGTATGAATCACACAAAACATCACACAAAATATTTTCTCCTCAAATGTTTGCCTTAAAATCAATTAACATCACAAGTGGCTTTAACATTGATCTTGAAATTACTGATCCATATTGATCGCAAACAAAATGCCAAAACTGGCATGAGACAATCTTTTTTTGCTGATTGCTTGGTAGGAAACTCCGGTCATTTAAGAGTTGCGCATTTGTCAATCTTTAACCTTTTGGTGAGACCAGATGTAACATAGTCTTTAAATTCATACCATACCTCTTTGTATTTTTGTTTCTTTTATAAGACTCATGATTGATACCTCGAAAAGGAAGAATTTACGAAAACAACTAGCCAACGCACAGCTTCAATCATACTTACTGAGGGATACTGAGAATAGGAGGCATTTATCACGAATTGTTTTGTTCCTGAGTTTTTATCAAAGTGTCACTCTAGTGTGTTATATTGCTGTTTTTGAAGTGCAATAGAATGCTAGAAAATAATGTATTTAATTTTTTTACTGGAAGACACTCTTTGTGATAAAAGAGAGCGCATTTTTAGTAAGGACCATTTGCTGTAAAGACCAAAAACGGAGAACTGTCTCAAATTTGGCCATGCTGGATGTTGTTAAACATAATTTTTAGTTTACCCTAACAAATTCACTTCTCATAGCTTACGTTTAGCTATTTTACATGCCAAAAAATATTTCAGATGGCTAGGTTTTATTGCACGAAAAATTTCGGTTTTCTTGTTTTTTATATTGGCAATAGATTCTAACATTTTGATTAAATCTTTGTTTTGACCTGTCATTTCAGGTCAATTTTAACCACGGAAATTATAATATTTTCACTTTTATTCTTACAATCCCTAAATCTATAAAAAAAAGCATGTGTGTCATCTTCCAAACTTTTGAAACCTGAAATTTCTTGCTTGTCTTCATTACTTAAGCAGTGAAAAAGTGAGTTGAGTGTTAACCAAATAGATTGTTTAAAAATTTGGTTTAAATATTTTTAATTCACCAAAGACAGAAATAAAAAAAAATATTTTTATGGCCATTATCTTGTCAAGTAAGCAAAATTCCTCCTTTTTAGATGTTTTAAAAGTCATCCTTATTTTAGTGTACATTTTTTGTATGATATCGCGTCAATGTGTGCAGTAAGTAACAATTTGACTCTGAAATGTTTTATTAACATATGCAACCGCACAACCAACTCAGATTCGGAAAATTCTAGGAGAAAAAACACTTTGGCAATGTGCATTCATGCAGTTTGCAACCCTCTGAATATTTTGACGATAAAAACGAACATCTCATTATCTTTGAATCCTACAGCATCTAAGTAACTTGAAAAGACATCAGTGATTTCAAAGTTGTTGAAGAAATTTGTGCTTATCAGCATCATTTATAATAATGCAATATGTTGGATTCTTAGCTACAAATGCCGTAAGCTATAATGCATTGCATAGTAAAGTAACTTGACCTGGACCATAGTTAAATTGTTTCGACTGATTATGTACTAAATTGAGATAATACATAAAGAATAAAATAAAGTAAAAAGCTACAATGCTTAAACCTCAAAGTGGTTTGAAGAATGGCTCAGACTGTCAGTGCCAAGTGGCATGATCAGAGAACTGTCTACTCTAAGTAAAAGCTTTTTACCTCCATATTTGTAAGTGGAAAGCTCATGTTATCTCTTGAATTGGACCCTGACTCACCTAAAAGCTTTAAATCCATACCTATAATATTATGAACCTATGAAAAATTGAATATGTGATCAAATCATCTAATTGTAGATTAATCGGTTGATAACCGATAGAACGGTTTTTGGCTAGCTTAATGTGAGGGGTCGTCAGAGACTGTTTTTCTGCTAGTAGTTTTACTCACTGTGATCTGTATTTTGTTTCTTGTGCTTCTTTCATGTTTGTAAATTATCTCAAGTGCGCTTAAAGTAAATTTAGTAATATTAAGTCGTTAGTCAATTGATTTTTGTTAATTTAGCCTATTAAGGTTTATTTCTCTTTCTCTGTTTCTTTTATTTTTTTTTTAAATCATTGGGTTGTTTAGTTTTCTACTGTCTGTCCTCTAGCTTTTTTAGTTTTTTTGTGCTGTTTACTGTTGTTACCTCATTTATTACTGTCTTTGGTTTAATCGTGTATTATTTTTTAATGAAAAACAATACACTGAATTTTTGTTCCTCTAATGTTTTTGAAAAATAAATCATGAAAATCAAAATTTTCTTCTCTTTTTTCCATTTTTTGTAAAAATCCAAATTCTTCCCTCTCTGTAACTATGAGAGCAGTTCCTTTTCCTCCCTTTTTGTGGATTTAGATGATTTAATGCTCTCTATCACTTGACCAGATGTTTTATTTAAACAATGTGACGTCAAATGCCATTTCAATCTTAACTGAATCTCATGGAAGAATCACCTCATTAGAGGTATTTTATACTCGTAAGAAAATAGTTGTAATCTCTGATGCCAGGTATAAACTAGGGAGTTTCAAAAAATGTAAGTTATATTACATCGCAGAGAATGGGACAGTCACAACGCTGCATTCAAAACTTCTGGAATTCAGAGGCTTTCGTCAGAGGAAAAATAAAAAGATATCACTCTATCATCAAAAGAAATTCCCTCTTCGATCAGAGGACTAAAATAAAATGAAATCAATAACAATAAAAAACTGTTTGACATCCATTTGTGACGAACAGGAATCTGAAGGTTTTTGATTTGTATTAATTTTTTTGTATTTTTTTCCTCTGCTCTGAGAGGGGATTGTAACCACTCTGAAATTTTTCAGACATTTTTTTTCTGTTTTTTAGCCTCGGTCTTCAATTTTATTGCATTTGTTTTGTTTCATAAAAGTAAAATAAGTTGCACAGTCTTATTGGCATCGAAATGATATTACGTAATTTTTTTTTGCAAGCCTCATTTTCTTCTGTATCGTTGTGAGGAGGGCAAAAAATAATAGCAAGGTAATAATAATCTGAAAAAATAAAAAATCTAATTTATTTGAACTATCTAGTTTGTATCCGTGTCAGGACAACAGAATTATGGAGCATGTTCAATTGTTCACTTCGATTGACAAAGCGGATTAATTTGAAAGTGCCGCCAATCTCTCACCTGGCAAATTGGTTCAAATCGTTGCATTTTCCCAGTTATTCCACTTTTCGAACAGAAGGAATCTTAACCGCAAATTCTGAACCAGACGTTTTGATTGGTCCAGAGCGGTTCATTCCATGTATTCCGAGTTGAACCAAAATAAGCGGGAGTTTCAAATAATTCCGGATATCCTGTTTATTTAATCGTTTCCGTTTCCGGTAAAACAATGTTGACAAATTTACGAAAATTCGTTGGGTAAAATTGATAACACCGTTTTACCGGAAACGGAGACGATTTGGCAAACAGGATATCCGGAATTTGTAAAACTGACAACACTGCTTTATTTGAAATTCCCGCTTATTTTGGTTCAATTCGGAATAAATGGAATGAACCGCTCTGGACCAATCAAAGCGTCTGGTTCAGAATTTGCGGTTAAGATTCCTTTTGTTCGAATAGAGGAATTGCAGACCGTTGAGCTATTGTCGGCATTTTGAGGTTATGTCCGCATGTGTTGTTTACAGCATTTACAGCAATATCAAAATTTCATTTAGAAAGCTTTTCAAAGTAAATTTAAAGTTTTTCCCCAGTCCTCTAATCTACAATATCAACCTATTTGATCCATGATGCACTATAGTTTTAAAGAAATTGTCTCTGGCTACAGTCAGCTTGACAAATGGCGTGAAATATCTCTGAATACAGGTGAGACTTTCATCAACTGAAAACTGAGCGTCTCTTTTTCCTTTGGTCACATTTTATTTTATCTCAAAAGTCTATTCATTGCCTATGACTCTAAAATCTAACTGTATTACATGTAGCTTCAATGTTTGATAAATCGTCAAATTCTATTGCTTTGCCGATTAGCAAACTTCATGCGAACTTTGTAGCCCGCTCCAAAGTTCACCTAAGGCTCATGGAGTCCTACTATTCACTTTGTACTTACTGCTCAAATATTCGACAGCGTCCAATCTGTTTGCTGAAATTTTTCCAACTGCTGGAGGTACAAAGGGCGCCAAAATGTCTGATACACTTGTCGGTAAACCCGTGCACACAAAGCACATCATTGTAAACTCCATCAGCCACAGAGGAACAATAAGTTTTAAACTACTTTCTATCAATAGGAATTTATCGGAGGTCAAACTTTTAAGCCTGGAACTCCTCTGGTTATGGAGCACCATATGTATCATATGTCCAGAGTAAATGTGAGAACAATAAGAAATGCCGATGTCCTATGTTTCAAAATTTTTCGGAGGATAGTGTTCCACTTTTTATTGGGACTGCAGGAAAGCTTAAACTTCTCAGCCCTCCCATTGTATGACTGTCTTTTTCCCTTACAATCAGTGCTCCCGTGTGCGAGATCCGTACGCTCTTCCGCTCTTCGTGCTGCTATTGGCTGCTGCGTCATTCTGTGACGTCTTGTGTACGGATATTTTAAGATAGGGAAGCGTTTTCCCATAAGGTTTTTGTCTGTACGCGGTCCGTGTCGGTATTGGGACTGTCTGCGCGGCAGGGATAAATCCGTACGCCTGGGATCACTGCTCACAATTTTCAAATAGACAACCAATTCTTTTTAAACTTACAGTGAAAGCACTTGGTAAAATGGTCAAAATTAACTGTTGTAAAACTCACCACTTTCACTTTTTATATTTTATTGTCCAGACGTTTGGAGATGGAGTCAAGGTCCCCTGGCTTGGTCTCGAAACGCGTTGACAGTCAAATATTAAAAGTGAAAGTGGTGAGCTTTACAAAAGTTAATTCTATCCATTTCTCTTTTTGTTCTCCATTTGCAAAAAAGACGCATTTATCAATGCTGGTGTACACCGGTTGAAAAGCTTCCAAGAATTGCCGGATCGAGGTTGAGTAAGTACCCTCCAGAAGAAGTGATTTTTTGTTTAAGTATGAGTGAAATAGGAATGCTGATTTTTCAAATCGATCCAATTTAAGGTGATTTGTCAAGCTCTCTGACGTGGTCAAACTGGCATGTGATATATCGCATCAATCAGGTCAACTGTCCAGGTAGATTTTGAATTTTCAGGTAAGGGCGATAGCCCCTGCGCATGAGCCTAAAGAATCATTCTAAACCCAAAAATTTGCAAAATTCAGAGAATTGAAAGCAGAATCTTGTTTGGGAAAACACCTCGCATTTTATACAGAAATTGAATTGCATTGCACGTCAGGTTTTTCTCAAACAGGATTCTGCTTTCATTTCTTTGAATTTTGCACAGTTTTTGGTTTAAAATGATTCTTTAAGCTCATGCGCAGAGGTTATCATCCTTTTTTGGGCTGAATTTTCAAAATCTATAGATAGTTGACCTAATCGATGTATTATATCGCATGCCAGTTTGACCATGTCAGAAAGCATGACAAATCACTTGAATAGTTTTCTGGACGAAATGAACCACTAGACAAGGTACGAATTTAAGCGATCTGATACATGTTTCTTAACCAGAATTTCACGTAGAAAACGATTCACACAACGAAAATTACTGAGACCAACTCCTAACGAAGATATTAACGTTTTTATTTCAAATTCGTTACGAGGAATTTGAACTGCCCGCTCACAAGAAACTCAAAGCTCTGTGTGAGTCAAATCGCCCACTACAACGGTTTCAGCAAGCTTCTCAGTCGAGCAATGTTCATTTCCCACCATGTGTTGTTCAAACTATTAGCAATTTGTTATAGCTGAGCCAAAGTGTCAAAATTGAGGTTGCCAGATTTTTATATCGCAGAGACTGTCATGATCACGTTTAGCGCGCGATGTGAATCATGTAGAGTATTGAGTTTTATGAGCGGGTGGTTTGAATTCACGCATCAAGAATCATTAAATATCTTCGTAAGGAGTTAATTTCGGTAATTTTCGTTGTGTGCATCGTGTTTTATGTAAAATTTTGGTTAAGAAACATGTATCAGAATGCTGAAATTCGTACCTTATCTAGTGGTCCATTCTGTAAGATTCTGCAAAATGGGCGGAGGACGAAAGCATAATACAGCGGAAATACAATGATTTTTTTTATCAGCTTTCCAAGAGTTTCCAGGCTTCCCCAGTTTTCGTGCGATCTGGATGATTAGTGACCCTTTCTGACGTAAGCCGATTATCCTGGTTTATGTCCCTCTTTTGCAGGATTCTCATTTCTAAAACCTACTTTTTAAGGCCTCCCATTTTTTGCAAGCAGCTGAGAAGTTTTTGCATCCCTCAGGGAAATTGTAATCCCTCAGTCAAGTGCTTTATTTAATTTCATATATCTTATATTTGAATGCTTCACACCCAAAATTTTTCTTGTCATATGATCAAAAATTCTTATGAAAAGTCATTAATATTAATTTATAAATTTTTAGGTGGAACACCAAGTACGCTACAAGATATCAAAGTTCAGCAAAGATCTGGAGGATATTGCTATAAACAATGCCCAAATCGTTTCATTTACTGGTAATTATCCATCTCAAATCTATTGTTAGTTCTATCTTCGTGTTTCTCATTTTCTTCCTTTTTGTTAGGAATCATAGAAAAGTAACTCTGATGGCATTATTCACCATTTTTACAGGATACCGCTCAATATGTCTATAAGGCACCAAATATGAATGTGAAGAAAACAGAAGATTCAGCCACCCATCATAGTCCTGGGTTTAAGGATGAGGTTTCGTGAATGTCCTCAGGAAATATTTCTGAAGAACATCTTTCAATGAAAAAAGATGTGGGAGCTCTCCTGGAGCAAATCTCTTATTTACTTTTTGACCAGATCTCTTCGAACATTTTCTGATTTTCTATAAAATATTTGTCTATCGGCCAAAAAATTAACTCTCTTTATGACTGGTGCACCCCAACTGCTCATGGTACACCAAAAAACAATTTTTGCTGGATTAACATTCAAAAAAGGTACAGAAGAAAGGTTTCCTGAACTAACATACTGAGATGTTAAACATCTGAGCAACAACTCTGGAATATCAATTTAAATGTTTTGGTTATTACTTTGACGTCTCGAGGATGGCATATTAACAGCGGTAGCAGGTTCATACCAATAATCTAGAGTTTTTACACACATTTTTAACATCCCGGTATGTTAGTTCAAGAAAGCTTTTTTTCCATGTAGGTAACATTTTTAAAGTATTCCATTTTTGACATCCTTTTTTTTTAATTTTGCAGGCGGACAAATGACGATGTTTTGGAGTTAGTAGAGCAGAGTCTAAACCTGAACTTGTCCGGTAATCAAGTTCGTTACAGGTTTCAAGACTCGCCTATTCTGGAGGGCGTCACTATTCACGAGACTTTCAATCGAGTAGTTATTTTGGTTCCTACTATATCCAGTGTCCATCGACTTACGTTCTCTCATCCTCCTCCTGAAGAAGTAAGAAATGCTAGCTTTAAACCTTACCTACATAGGTCTTTTCCAATTTTTTTTTTCCTTGACATAGAGAGTATGCTTGTCACAAATGTAGTATTGCAGGCTTTAAATTGATCAAAAAGAGAAATTATTCCCTTTCCATAGTTTAGTTTTGTTTCCTGAGTTTAGTCATCGATAAAGAATCCTGAGGCAAACAGCAATTTGTAGAAGTGATTGAACAAATGATTCAAATCATCAGTGAAAAATGTGTCTCCAGTTATTTGCAAACTTATCGGAAGGAAATTAACCTTTCAAAGTTCAATTCCTTTTAATACCCCTCTAGCTTCTTTGCAATCTATTAAGGACTCTGTATTTTAAGCAAATTTATTCGGGGCAAAATAAAAACTATAAACAACATTAGTTTTAGGAAAATATCGACGACACATAAAAAGTTCATTTTTTGAGTCAGTTGCACGGAAAATTTTAGGGACCTTTTTTGTCTTGCTAAAGATTAGATTTTTTATTTTCGTCTTATTTTTCTTTGTTACTGTTATTTCAGGAACTTTCTGACATTCAGTCATTGTCAATTTTTGCTGATGCGACCGCAAACTCAGCTCGTGACTCCACTACATTCCATGTGATAAACACTGCCCCGAGTAAGTAGATTAAGGCAATAAAAAAAGCATATCGAAAGGTTTATAGTTAATGGTGTTGGATACTCGTATAACACGGAAGTAAAAAAATAAATATTTCAAATTTTTCTATCTTGTCTTCGACCAGTCTCGATAAGGGGCGCAGAATCTTCTTGACCACACAATGGAGAATTTGCACGCAATTTTTTTATTGCTTCATCTGAAAGTGCCTAATGAGCTGAGTTCGCAATATTTTTCATAATTTTTTTCTGACATGGGAAATTGGAGAAAAATTGATTTAAAAGTGAGAAAATGTGCCGCCTTGTGATGTCATCTGGCAGCATTTCCCATTTAAACACATGTATTTTAGCAGAATCGGTTATTTTGTTATATCTCCTCTAATAGTTGCTCAATTTATGAATCAAGGGTATCTTCGTGTTCAGTTCACTCAGAGGATTCCACTTAAACAGGAAATTCATCAAATTTCAGACCCTTGCAAATTCTCCATTGAAGGATTGAGATATATTGTGTGCAAAAATGAGAAAGTCCCAAAAGCATGTTTTAAAAAGGGTAGACCATGTGTGTATTCATGGATAAATTGCATATTTACCACAAAATTGAGATAAAAATCGCAAGTTCTGGCAAAACCGCAGTGAAATCTACGTCGTTTTGTATACAGAGAGTTAACAAGAGGTCATCAGTTCAAAAATGTTGAGGAAAAAGGGTTTATTTGAAAAATAGAAAAAGCCGTCCAATGATCAAGAGGGCCAAAAACTTTTTCTACAACTTCTCTCTCTCCGGTTTCGATTTGCAGGGCCAAAATGTACCAATGGAACCAATATGGTCCAAATGGACCAATGGAAATATAGTTTTCCCTTCCCATTATTGGATCAAGCTCTTTCACCTCTCTAATTAAAGTTACTGCCTCTCTTCTTTTTTCAGATCTTCCACATGCGGCAACATCATGTCTGACAGCGAACAAAGATGCGCTGTTTGCTTTAGCTTTAAGTTCTGGTACCATCATGTTGGTTCGTTTAGATCCTCTATCTGGTATAGGCACTTGTTCTGAATTGCGTCAAGATTCTGCAGTTCCTAGATTTTTATCAAACTTCATGTAAGTATTTCTTTTAGTCATGACTAAGTAATTAGAATAATGCTCGTAATTAAAAGTCATTTTGAAACCGTAGGGGGAAGAAACAGCCTGGCAACAATAACCTAAGTTAAAGCTTGATTTAGCATTCCATCCCAGATGTTTATTCAACTTCATGCAAGCATTTCTTTTCAGCATAACGAAAAAATCATAATAGTTAATGTTCATTTTCATAGTTATTACTAAGAAGATCAGGCGGAGGAAGAAAAAAAAAACCTGCAACAATGACCCAAGTTCAAACCTGATATACTGTTGTGTCATGACTGAATGCCCACCATTAGCACTTGACGTATACAATGTCGATATTCATTTCAGTACAAGCCATGCGATACTTTATGATAATCTTTTTAGTTACCCAAAATTGAATATTTCCTCGCGTCTAATTTCTGCATCTAAGAATTAACATCCTTAGTTACTGAAAATTCAAATTAATTTCCTGTTTTGAACCCATTAAGATTGAATTCAAAATATTTCAACCATCAGTAAGTTGATTCTCTTATAAAAGGTCACACCTTTTTGTGAAACTTTTAAATTGTTCAAATGCTAATTGAGTGTCTTTATATTAAATTGTCCGAATGCCCCCTTATAATTTTGATCACTCTTTTTTTTTTTAATTCCATGTTCTGCAGGGGCAAAACAGTGGATGATTATGTCAGTTTGATCGTCCATCCATCAGCTTCAGATGTGTTTCTTTTTGCACTAACCGGAGATGGACAGGTTAGAGTATGGTCTTGCGATCGTGGTGTGAGCCTCAAAATACCAGACAATATCACTAAATCTACCACGCCTTTAGTTCAAGGAGGTAAGCCCACCTTTCATTTTTTTCGACATGAAGGGAGGGAAAACAGTTTTTTAGGGAAAGAATGAAGCCATAGATTATCATATAATATAGCTGATAAATTATCGCTTTGTGACTCCCATTTGACAATAAAACCTATCCTTTCACAGATCATGAGGAAATGACCTTCTCCGATATTTTCCTCCACTGCCTGGTGTCAGACTTTCACCGGATGTCTTAAAAAGTTTGAAAAAAATTATCGCTCTTTCTTCTTCGTCTCTGTCAAGCCAAATCAACACTGCAATTTCCTATCCCCTATTCCTGTTCTCTTACATTTTTTTGAACTTCTCGTACATTTCACATTCAAAATAGTCCTGTCTGTGAGCGTACCGAGCGTAGTTTGTGATGAAGAATCCAGTTTTTGCCATCAGTTCTGAGGCTCTTATCAGTTCTTTTAACAGTAATTTTTTCCAAATAATGGAAGGTTAGGCCAATGGCTCAACCCCCAAACTAGAGGACCAGTACTTGATTTTGCAGTGCCAACACCTAGATTAGCTGCTTTCACTACAGCTATGAATCCTGTTCGGTCTGGGGGTAAAAGCTTAGCTGCCTATCATGTCTGATGGGCATTCATCTATCTGCTTACCGAGGTATGCACTCTTTAGGGAAAAAAGGTTCCTCTCAGACAGCAGTAGAGCTCTGCCCTCTTTCATCGGGATCATGGAAGAAGTACTTATCTAGATTAGAGATAGATTTCTTAATGGAGATTGGAGTTTGTAGGGCTCTTTATGAAAAATTTGATATGTACAACAACGAAGATCAAGTGCAATTTTTGAAAAAGAAAATTAATGCATCTTGAATATATTTACATGCACTAAAAATTAAAGCTCAAGGAACAAATTGCACATTTGTCCGTTAGGGTTGACCAAGTTAACGTCAAATTATTAGTTTCTCAATAATGTGCATCTTAAATTAATAAAATTAAAGAAATTTGTTTTCATATTTATTCTTGATAACCGTTTCACTTTTTTGGATTTCAGCTTATAGTCATATCATGCGGAAAGCAGTGAATACGAATAACCTCATTTTAGGTATTTACCTCTGCCTGAACACTAAGTCTCGGTTGTTCATCGTCGAACCCATAGTGGAGCATGGATTTGTTCAGCTACCCATCTCGTGTAATTTTCTAATCCCCGAGGTAATTTTAAATTGAAAATTTTTAATCACAATTCACTGATGTATTTTATGTTCTGTGAACAGTTTGTAACAACTGGTGAATCAATATTTCTCTTTAATTCAATAATTTTTTTAAAGAGGAGACTTGTTCAAGTAGAGTATTTGGAATGCGTTGTATAGTTATAGAAGACTCATAATTTTATCCACGTTGTAAAAATATTTTTACAATTTTGTGTTGACTTGTTCTCAATAATCGTCTTATCATAATGCATTTTTTTTAATAGAATCTGGACTTGATGGACTTGACCTTCGATTCAAACACAGTTTGGTGTTTGTGTCGAACAAGTGAAGGAGAGACTGTCGTTCACAGCATCAACCTACTAACTGGTCAGTGGCAGAAGACGGATTTGGAGACCAATCCAAAACCTCTGAACTCATTTTTAAGCACAGCAAATCTTGATCCTCGACTGGTCTACCTTCAATACATCTTTGATCACAGTCACTTCTCCGTCAATGATATTTCCAAGGTATGTTATTCGCAAGACGAAAGATAACTTAGAGATTTTGTTTTATATGCAGTTAGAAGTTTAGTATTCAAATTGAATCACAAGATTGATTTATAGACTTCAAGGCTCTAATCTTGTGAAAATATTTAGGACCAGCATTTTAGATTTATTAGAGTTACATTAAGGTACAATTCCCCCCCCCCTCCCAAAATATTTTACCTATCAATTGACGATGAAACTACCAGACCATGTATCTCGGTTTGCGACGTTGCAGACTTCCTATCATATTTTATTTTTTAAATGGAAAACCACTCAATGTCAATTCTTGAAAACTTCCGTGTTTAATTTTCTTTCTGCGCAGGAAACTGTGAAAGCTTCAAGGAATGATATTGATTTGTTTTCCCTTAAAAATTATAAAATGGAAGCAAAGATTTTTTAACACCGCAAACAAGATACGTGATTTAGGAGTTTCACCGTCGCAATGTATTCAATGAAAGTCATTATAGACTTTCTACACCTAGAATAGGGAAACAATGCTGGGCATCTTTGGAGCAGAGGGGGAGGGGACTATCACCTGTTTCACCATATTTTAAAGGTAACCCTTTTTTTAGACTATTTTCAAGGGCATTTTGGCTCATTCTTAGAAGTTAGCCCCCAAGTAAAGTTTGCCTCTCCCAAACAACTTTTACCACTCCCTCATTTGACTAAAATGATGCTGCTAATGAAGGGTCGTAGCTTCAGAGGACTGGGGGCAAACAGAGTTTTTGAAGCTTAACATGACCTATTCAGCCCCGCTTTTGAACCAAGTACTTGAGTTTAGTAACACAAATGTAGCACATATGAAGTTAGGAAGGTTAAAGGAAATATTTCATAGAAACATTTTCTCGATCCTTAAAATCGTTTCGTGCATCAACTTAAGCTCCAGGCCTCAACTCTCAGGCGCCCTTTATAACTTTTCAGTCATATTTAGCACAGAAAAATGATAAGATTTAACTCATCATAGGCCGAAAAGTATTTTAATTTAACCCTTCTTGGATTCGTTTGTCTAAGTTTAATCATTTTTTGGGCCTTTTTAAAAGTTTATAATTTATCGCAGAATGCTCATTAAATTTGACTTAGGATCTTGTTATGCCAGTGTTTTGTGGACTATGTGCTAAAAAGCTGCATTAGCGCTATAAATTTTGTTCCATAATTTCTAACGTTTTAAAATGAAATAAGCTAGTAAAAATATACAAAGACTATTTTGTGTGTGAATGTGTGTAGTTTGCCTTCTACCTTTTTTAAAGTCGGGTTTTAACTAGTTTTTAGCATAAAGAAAATTTAGACCTTTTTCTGGACATTTCTTTCCTCGTGTCTTGTTAAGGATCTGATAGGGCTTGCAAATTTATTCAAATTTTAGTTCAAATTTTATCTTAATAAACATTATTTTTTATTTTTTTTTACTTCAGGCTCTTGGAATGCTGTGTAAACCAGAGGACAGAGACAACAGTTTGTCCCTGAAACAACAAGTAGAAGTCGCAATTGAAAATGAAATCCAAATGGACGTCTCCGACTATGAATTAACTGATGAAGATTACATCGACATCGCCGAAAAATGCTGGAACAAATTTTATTCTTGCTGCGTTCAGTATCATCAGACATCTAGCGTCCCCTTAGGAATCATTTGGCTCCACTCCATGTCCTGTGTGGTCTTAATAAAAAAGAATGGATTTTCTATCTTGCGCAACAAAGAATACTTGGAATCTATCATTGCCAACAAGCAATTCTATGCAACTTGCTTTGAGCGACTCGTCAATGCTCTAGCGTCACTGGAGTTAGATTATGAGTTGAATGTCAAATTCGATCAAGCCCTTCACGGACTTCTACCATTAGATTCTACAATTGCTCTAATTGCTGGGCAGATCTCACGAGATGACAAGTTTCTTTCGGAAGCGGAGTGGCTGTCTAACAATGATCAGCTGTCCGTTTCACTCGTAAAATTAGTCAGTCTTTTAAAGGAGCCTGAAACATTTGAACCTGTTCCATGCATTCAAAACACCTTAAGGAGTTCGCTAGGTGTGACAACGGTCGCTGCATGTTTAAACCAAGTCGTCTCATTACGGCTTCTGTTGAGCCGTAATGTGCTCGTGTTTCTCCAGCTCATGGGATCTCCAGAACTTGCTACCTCACTTCTTGAGGATTTAATCCCCATTTGTCAATCTTACTGGTTGCTGCAGTGGTGTGGACGGCAATCAATAACAGCTGAATATTTAGCATCAACGTCAGGCATTGCGCAGCCTTCACTGATGGATACAGTATCTTCACTCGCGCATCACCTTTGGCCAGCAAAGAAGAGTGCAAATATAGCCGAGTTCCTTTTGGGTTTGAACAAGCCTGTTTTAGTACAAGAACTCGCTCGCCTTACTGATTCCAAATCCTGTAAGTTATTTTCATTTTCTCTACCCTCTTTGAAAATCCAGTGAAAAGAATACAGATTAATCAGATCCAAAAATTAGGAAGGTTCCTAAAAGTTGGAGCTTTCCATTCTGCCATTTAACTTTGATAAGATCCGACAGAATATATTAGTATTTGTGGTTGTTAACTCCTCTTTCTTCATGTTTGACGATTAGAAGTTTGATTCAGCCTAATATGTTCGATTGTATGCTGATCCAGTGGAGGATTTTTCAATTATTGCCATGTTTCAATTAGACATAGTGCAATATCTACTAGACCTAGGGGGAAAAAACAATTAATTTTAACTGCTTGGCCTCTAGAAAAGCAGTTGGCATTCAAGTTCCTGCGTTTATCAAGAGTCATAAATTAGTTTTCTTATTCCGTCTTATTCCTCCGTATTATTTCCTCTTGGTAATTTTGAGCATTTTTTTGAGGCTGAAGTTTACGCCTTTTATGGCATCTTTTCTAACAACAATGTAGTTTACAACATCAAGTTGACAATTTCTGCCTGAAGAAAGAGTTTCAGTCCAAAGTGTATCGTCGAATGAGTAGAATATACCTTTAATCATTTTGGGGGTGAGGGAGTGATCAAATAAGAAAGACTGTTCAAATGACCAAACTAGCAATCTTATTTTTTTTATCGTTGAATTTTAATTTTTTCCAGGGAGAATAATCCTAGCCCAAGCTTACTTGCAAATGGGAGACGCATTCAAAGCCTACGACAAAATCACGGCCGAAGCGAACACCTCAGCAACATTCTTGAGGATGATCCAGTTGTTTGAGAAGCACAATTACTCGGACATAGTTATCGAACTTGCAGACACTGCCATCAGTCAAGCAGAACTCGATGACCCAGAACTCCCAACTCTTCACTCGCTTCTGTTTTTGCACCATCTAAAGCTGTGTCACTATACTGCCGCTTTCACCAGTCTGAGGAGCAATCCTGACCCTGAGCGGCTGTCCGACTGTTTGCGGCAGCTGGTTGTTGCGCTCATTCAAAATGCTCGGTTGGACATTTTGCTCTCGCTACCGTTCGGCAGTCTGTTACCTCAGCTGGAATCGATTATGATCTCAAGAGCCCGCTCACTACCCACTGAGCAAGCAGCGCTGTATTACTCGTTTTTATATTCTCTGCATATCAAGTTTGATAACCTCAAGAAAGGTATGGACTCCTGACCGCTATAATTTATTTATTTTACTTTTGTCCATACCAAGCACTGCTTTTGCAAGCTAAAGATAATCGTCTGTTTTACAATTATTAGCAACTTAATTTACATAAAAAATGATATTACTGCAAAATGAATAAAGTATATTGAGGATATACAACCAGAGTGTACACGAACAGAGCAAAAAAATGTAAAACAAGCTATTGCTCTTTCAAACGTAACTAAATCCTATTTCTCTCTCAAATCTCTTCACTCCTTATCTTTAATCAAAGTAGATCTTACATAATCTCAGTTTTTTTTTATTTTTCACAATTTTATTTTCAGCTGCAACAGTTATGTTTGAACAAGGTTTACGAGCAGAGGATCCTGAAATGCAGCGTCAATGCTATGCAATTTGTCTTAATTGTCTGTATCTAGTCAACCCCAATAATGCTTGGATTTTGAAACCCAAAGAAGATGAGGTCGAGGTAAGCTTGATAGTTTCAATGTATAATATTTTCTTTGTAAGCTATTAAATATTCAAGGGAAGAAAGCAGATAACACAAATAATCTTACAACATTGCTTCGAAGCTCTTCTAATTTTGAATGTACACTTAAGAATGTACTATAAAAACTGGAACTATAGTCTGCGACACAAAAAGTGGTGGGTGAGGGGCGGAGCCAGTCGATCGGTCCAGTCTATTTTTGAAGGGTTGAAGCGCAGATATTGGCTCATTCGTTACCGCATCTCAACTACGGGCCAATACCTGCGCTTCAACCCTTCAACGATAGACTGAACCGGCCGACTGGCTCCGCCCCTCACCCGCCACTTTCCGTGGCGCGGACTATAACTCATTTGAGTAGAAAAAATGAAAATAAAAATAAAAGTAAAAAACAACAGTTGTAAATTTTTCAAGAATATTAATTCTAGAAGGAACTGCGGCAAGGAATTTTTGCAGGGTTGTTGTATTTTGTAGAAAAACCGACGAGTTTATTGAAAAGTTCAAAAACCATTTCCACGGGGAGAAAAAGCTGATTGAAAACGAATTAAAAGCTGAGAGTCAAGTTGACATGACAAGGCAATGCTTGAAGCAGAGTTTAGTCAATCAGCAAACACTGTTTCTTGAGCCTGACTACATCATCAGAGTTTGCCGAAAATGTCGTTTCAAATGGGTCCCATTTTTGGCATTTTCAAAACAGGGCTTCTTTGCAATCTAAAGTTTAAAAAAATCTGGAAAAATTCCTAGAAACCTAGTTCTCTATGTACTTTTAGTTAAAAATTTAAAAGGAATCGATTCCTTTACCATATCAGTCAGCAATTTATGTGTAATGCTCGTTTTTTAAACTCAAAAACCACTCTACAATAATTATAAGATCCCTTCGGAATGTAAATGTCAGGATACATTTAGGAAATAAGAGTTCCTTTTACTTTCTGTGATGTGCAAAGAAACCATAGAAAAAAGAGTGAACCAAATTAATTTGTCGTACCATGAAATTGAAGTTTTTTGAGATATTTCTCTTCAGCAGTTTTATCTCTCCAGATGTTATTTTTCTGTGACCTCTTATTTTGGGAAATTTTTGTTCCTTAACTTTCATATCCTCTGTAGACTATATTTACCTTTGCACTAAGATTGCACTTATATAATCTTGTCAAATCATATTGTTACAGGAGATAATTGAAGTTCTTGAATTGAAGGACATAAGGCAAGAATATGAGCTAGCAACGGCAAAAATCAAGCTATCAATGGCAAATGCTGGAACATACCCACAAGAACTGGTATCGATGCTTATCCACAATGGATTCTACAAAAATGCTCTTCGAATTTGTCACTTATGCAACTTGAGTTACAGCCCTGTTTTAGTTTCGTTAGCGGCAGCTTGTGTTGCATTACCACATCAAGTTGATCCATGGAGTTGGCTTGTCCGGAATGAAATTTCAGGTCTGTTTTATCACTCTTAACATTTCATAGCTAGGATGGATTAAATAGAAAAATTTGTCATGGATAAAAATTTTCTCAAAGTATGATTGATTCCAAAACTCATTTGGAAAGCACTAATATTCTCTATTCTATCTCCGATGCTGTATTTTCCTACTTCAAAATTGGAGCATACGACGTAAAAACAATCTATATGCATATAATTGTTGTTTTTGCCCCAACCAGCGTTTTGAGTTCCTCGTGTCCTGATATCTGAGATCCAAGGCTCAAACAACCCATTTAAGTTGAACTGTAGGGGAAATTGAGTTATGCAATTGCTTTTTCCAGCGCCTTTCCTAATTGGAAACTGACCCAATTACAAGATAATGCAGATACAAGGCGTGTGATCAGATTTTTTTTTTTGCTAATCTGTAAGTTGAGACCATCAAAACTTGAGTCTGTTTCCAGCACAACTGGCCCGTTTACACTCATATTTTTCTCCTGAAGAGGGTAGTCAATGTCATTTCATTAAGCTGTAACAGAGAATTTTGCTGAGAGGGCAAAGGAAAATTTAGCAAAATTTCTTGCAATGACAATGATTACTATTCTTTTAAACAAGTCGACGGTGTAAGTCGGCAATCACATAACTCGGTTTGCAACGTCGCAGACTTCCTGCCATACTTTATTTTTTGAACGGAAAACTACTCAACGGCAAATCTTTAAAACTGCCATGATTTTTCTTCTCTGTATGAAGAAAATTCTGCATAAATTTCAAAGAATGATGTGAATTTGTTCTCTTTTAAAAAAATAATATAGAGGCGGAGGTTTTCAGACACCGCAAACGAGTTATGTGATTGCCGACTTACACCGTCGAAGTCCTAAATGATCAGTTATCACTAGCAGTATCGCAAATTTCAAGTCATTAGTTTCATTGTTAGTGTCTTGTAGATTCTAGTTGGTAGCGCAAAATTTTCCTCCCTTGCAAACGTAATCCTAATGAATGTTGCAGGACAGTTGAAAGAGCATATTGCTGTATTTAAGCTGCATTGAACTTTTTCTCCGAACTTTTTCTGCCGCAACTAAAATGGTCGCTTACAAAGTTTTAGTTTTAATTTTGTATATAGTCTAATGCTCACATGAAAATTTTTCTCCATGGTACAGAACTGGTCGCTGGTGACTCAAATGCTTGCACTGTGGCGTGGAGACTCCTTGAGTGTCTTCTTCAGAAGTATGAGAAGGATAATCAAACGGTGTTGCATAAAGCTGTAGCTGATAAATTGATGTCTTGTAACGTCTTTTTGCCTCATTGGCTAGAAACTTCTTACAAGGTGAGTATAATAATTTTCAACTTTTCTTTTCAATGTCTTGAATATCTTTTACTTCCTTTCTCTTCTACTCTTTCATTTCACTCTCAAGAATGTATAGAAATTCTATCGCACGTAAACTTTTTTTTCATAATTCCTTCCAATTATTTATAAAATATATGTGGACGGAGTCAAGGGAGTAGGCAATTATTTGCTGATGGGTTAACGACCGAAAAGCGCCCAGTTTTTGAAGTTTTTAATTTTTTATTTAACGCACAAGAGTGAATATATATATATATTTAAAAATTTTAAAGTTTCCAATCACTTGTTGTATGTTTTCTATATAACTATAGTAAGACCTCAATTTATCAGATCACGTCTCAACGCATCGATCCTTCTGTCCTTTTAAGGGCTTCTAGCTACACAATTTACATTAACGGATACCACAATTTATCGGATCGATTCATCAGTCCCGTGAAATCCAATAAATCAAGGTCTTACTGCATCAGTTTTTTCTTAGATCACATTTTCAATCAAGATAATCGTAACTGAACATAGTCCAACGTTTTCCTTTATTCTCTCCATCATAACAAACATCTTTCCCTATATTCATTTTAGAAACGTAATGCCAGTGAACTCCTGAGACTCTATCTAAACTATGGAGACTTAAAACAGGCCAGCACTTTAGCATGTGACCTTCTCCTTGCGGCACTTGGTTGTGGAACGGAGCATTTCTCATTGGCAGGACCTCTTGTTGTTGCTTCTCCGTCCTTATGTCTACCAATAGAAACAATTGACTTGCTTTTATTGGAGCTGTCACACCATAATGTGAGTATCTGTTTTACCTCTTCATATCCTCAGTTAAAATAGCCATCTGCCACTGCTTTATCCCAAATTGAGAGTACAGGAGTGATTGAAAAACTAACAATTTTTTTTTTTCAAGCGTTGAAGATAGAGTGTTGATTTTGGTTGTATTGAAAAGCAACTTGAAGTGTTCATCAGAATTCATATAGATGGCCAAAGTGCAAACAATGTTTCTCCATTGCAATGTTTCAGAATTTCCGTTCCTATTTTATTTTTTTGAAGAGAAACAAGCTAACATCATAGCTTGAAATTGATACTGAATACCTCGCGAATAGAGGGAAAAAATGAAGGAATTGCCTAGAAATTACATCGACTAGTTTTCAAGACAAAAGGAAAGTATGGCAGGCAGTCTGGAACGTCTCAAACAGCGATATGTTGTTCTGAACTTTGCCCATCGATGTATCAGTGCTACCTAAGTGATTTTCCAGAAAATGATTAAGCATTTTTCTAACTAGAACAAAAATTGGTAACTTTTTGAGCCACCCTCATACTTGTCAAATCTTTTTTGTTGGATCTTTTTTAAGATAAAATTTTTCATACTTGGAGGTCATGAGGTTAGATATCATGAGACTGGATAAAAATATCATGCTTTCAATTTTCAAGGCTTTTTAGCATCAAAACGGGCATTTTCTGAAACATTAATTTGTGTTTTCCATCTTTAAAATCAACACCTCACTTATGATCGTAGACAATACTGTCGCAGTATCTAATAGCTTCATATATCACATCATATATATCATAGAGGAAGCTTTTTTATTTTATGTGCATTATTTGGATTGTATTTAGCAGAAGGGAACCAACGTCAAAACAGTGTTTTCAAAACTGTGCAACTTCTTCTTATCTTTTAAAAAAACAAAATATGTGTACAGTAATGAAATTTTCACAATTGTGATCCTTTGAAATTACCAATTTTTTGTCAGAAAAACAAAGAACTTTTTGTAAACTATTAGCATAATACAAACTATATGTTATTTTTTTAGATAAAAATGAAGACCAACGTTTTTTACAACACTAATTGCGTTTATTGCCTTCTGCTAATTGCGATTCATTTTCAAGTCTGAAATCCTTTAAGTTACAACTCACAAAAATGGAATTCCTAGCAGGTTTGTCTTGTCTCTTACCTTCTCCTTCGCCTGATACCTGATTTTTTGTCTTATTTTTTGTTTTTCAGAAGGATGAAGCTAAGGATCTAGAATCAGTATTGGAAACATACATTACCACTGCCATGAAAGCCACAGCCGATACGAAAGCCTTGTATGGATGCTAGTCCGACCAATTGTTAATTGAGTACTCAAAGTAATCTTGTGTATTATAATGTACAGGGTAAAATACATTTTTTATAACTTAAAGTTTAGTCGTAAGACTGTAAATACTTTCATAGACAGCATGGAGAAGTGTTGAAATGAGGGAATAAAACCAATTTTTAAATAATTCCTGATCAGCTTTCATTTTATCTTTTCAGATAGCACCTTTTTGATCAATTTTTTTTTATTTTTTACATCAATGCTATTTTTAATCAAATTGTATCAAGTAAAGCAAAACGATTTTGTATCACAATGTACATATATTTGTTAAGTAGCTAATTATTGTCTGAAATTTTTTACCGTGCAGTAATAAAAGAAGATCTTAAATGTCTCTTGTTGAAATTGATGCATAATTGAAAGGTTTCATTGAAATGTAAGTCGTCACTTAAAAACCAAATCTAAATTATCAAAGAAAGAAAAAATGACAATCTATAATTGATAGAGGAAATAGAGCAATTGAATGTTTATGTGGGAAGAATATTTAAGAAAATAATTATTCTCATTTGCATAAGTAATTGAAGTATTCAAAACTATTATATTACCCAATAATTTGTCGTATCCATCACAAAGAAATATATCTTAATTGAGCTGTTTCAGTATTTCTTACTTTCAATTTATTTGTTCATAGAAAAACCATCAAATGAATTTTCCGAATTTCTCAGTAACTTTTCTTTACCCCTGTTAAAATTGACTGAAATTCTTAGATTAATTTGTGCGATGGTTCTCCCATTAAAAAATTAAATGCTCATAGACATACCAGCATAGCGCAGAAAAGATACATACCTCTGTGGGAGAAATGACAAATTATGAATTCAAAATATTTTTACCTCTATGTTGCTTAAATTTTTGTGTGTATTATTGAGCACTAGTTCTTAGCTGAAGAAACTAAACACTTCTATCGCTAATATAGTCCTTATCCTGTGGTTTGAAGCCGAACAAAAATCTGTCCTAAATTTAAATGACTGTTTCGCATTCACTCTTTTTCTTTTTAAAATCAGCTGAAGTTTATATTTTTGGTAATTTTTGTGCCCATTGTTGCCAACATGCATTCTCTATCAGATCAGGTTAATGTAAAACACAATTTATACTTCATCTATCCATGGAAGGATCATACTTTCTGTGTTGATTGTATGATACACTATTTTCAATAAATTGATTTTTACAGAATTCCTTTTGCCACAATTATTTTTTTTATTTTATTTAAAAAGAATTAAATCAGGGCCGGATTTACCTATAGGGCAATGGGGCACGTGCCCATAGCGGCAAATTTTGAGGGGCGGCAAATTTTGGCGATGGGCAAATTTTGGCGCTGGAAAAATTGAAAGTTAAAGCGAGAAAAGAGAAAAAAATGGAGACAGAGACGGAACAAAGTGAAAAGATGAGCGGCAAAATGTATGAAGGAAGGGAGTTGACGGGAACGGCAAAGCTGCCGCCCTCTAGGTCCGGCCTCGAGCGCTAGGATGATCGTTCGTTGGAGTGATGAAATGTGCAGGTTGAAACTTGCACATGATAGGAATGCGCTAGACAAATCTGCGAAAGCGCCGCCCCCCCCCCTCCTTCGCTCACCCTCTGCAGTCATTTGTTTTGTTTACTAATGAGCGGTGCGTCCGCGCGTGTCGCGGCTTTTGGTTCAATTGTGTGTTTTTGATTGAGTGAAAGTCCTTTTTCAATTACTCTTTCGGCTTTTCCTATTCACGGGCTGGTTACTATCTATCAGTTTCTGTATTTTTTTTATCCCGCCTTAGACGTTGATGCTCTGGTTGACAGCTTTGCAAAACTGAAAACCCGGAGAAAAACTTTTTAATCTGGTCTTTCGAGAATACATCGTAATTTGTAAGTAATACATTGAGATACACTAGCTTCATGCTTCAACTTATTGTCTCCCCATTTTATTTTTGCCTCATCCCTCCATATTCCATCTATTTTATATATTCGCGGCGCATTTTGAAGTAGCTACGCGCACGCGCCCACGCGGCGCACGAGGGAGGGGCCAAGATGAGATGTCGTGGGAAGTTGCGAGTGTGGGGAGGGGGAAGGGGGGGGGAGGGGGGGTACTGTTGACAATATGGTGACGAAATATTGCAGACCCAGGGGCGGCAAAATGTAGCTTGCCCAGGGGCGGCAAAAAGCTAAATCCGGCCCTGAATTAAATCAAGGAGGTAGATACATATGTAGGGTTTCCCCATACAACTGAAACTAATTTTGCTCTGAGAGAATCATTTTAGTGATTGGTGTGTGTCAGTAGTACATGCTTTAGTTGACATTCTCTTTTACCTGAGAATTTTAAACTGCCATAAAAAGCCATTTTTGATTTGTGTTGATTTTGATCGGTAGCCATTTTTATCACTTTTTTCTTTCTATTTTGGCCAATGATGCTTCATTCAGAAGAATCATTAGTGGGAGAGGTAGGTAATCAATCTTTGATTTTCTATCATCAAAAATGTAAGTAATTGGTTAAACCACTAATATTTCAGTAGGTACAAGATGTTTTAGATTTTCCGTTTCTCTTTGAAGTTTAAAAACTCATTTTAAGTGGATAAATTTTGTGTGAGTTTTTCCTCCTCCTCAACGACATTCTCTAAAAAATTTGAGCAAAAATAACAAGCAAGATTTCCTTGAAAATATAAGTAGAATAAATAGGACAATTTTTGAACTCCTGAATCCAAGTACTTCCTTATTTTTACAATTTTAATGGCAAACTCTTTCATAGCCCAATCTTGAATATTATTTTGGGTAGATCCATATTTCAGTGCAGTGTATTGATGCAAAGCAGTCATTTCTGAAAAATAATTTTGCCCATTTTCACTCTTGCAATTTTTTAATACCTGAGGGAGCCATATCCTATCAAAATATTTTATCACTACATATCAAATTTCTACTTTTGAGAACTCGATCCTCCCACAATAAGTTCAATGAAAAAGGGAAGCATTTTATTCCCCCCTTGATATTTTTGGGTAACCTAGACCCCTGCAGTAAGTAGTTTTATTCTTTTTTTTTTTTTGCTCAACTCTTGAAATTTTTAGTTTTACTCATTATTTTTCCCGTAGTTACACATTGAGTTTATTTTCTTCAAAAGAGAAGAATCCCTCTTAAGTATAGCACAGCCAACTACCAGCACAGCATAATCTCTCAAGTGCTGAATAAATAAATTTCAGAACAGTTTAAGAATATCATGTTCACTTGTTTTTCCATGAAAAATAAACTTCTTGAAAAGTGCGCCTCTTATTAGGTACATCTCAAAGTCTGTAGCTGTGTACCCTCATAAAATCAATTAATTAACCAGTGATATTCATCCATGCCAGTGGTCAGAGATCAATCACCTCGCGTGAGTGAATTATTAATTAATTATGCTCATAATTCGCGAATATCAGTCCTACGATAATTATGAAAAAAGAAGGAAGGGGTGATCGGCCGTTTGAATTCGAACGCGAAAATTCGCGAATTCCTTTCCCGCCCTTTCTTTCATCCCCCCTCCCTCCATGTCAGCCGACTTTACCTCCCTCCCTCCCGCCTAGCGCCTGTCGGGCGACGGCCTCTCTCCTCCCTTCTTCTTCTTTCGCCTCTTCTGCGAGTTACTTGAGGTTATGTTCTTTCCTCTCGTGTGGTGACTGTGTTTTTGTAAATTTTATTTTTCCAGTGGAAAATTAAAGTTTGTGACTAGTGAATTTCGGACAACCGTCAAGAATCACCGTCATTTCTAAAGTAAGTTCCCTCTGAAACTTAAATCCCTGCCGTAACCGTCACTTTGATCATGCAATACTCCATGCTCAAAGTAGGTTAATTGATGCCCTGTTTTGGTTCTTAGAATTTGAGCCACTGCACAATTAACTTAAATCAGTATGACAGTTGAAGCCTGATTTGATTTCGCTTACCTCCCGATACGTTATTTAAGAGTCTAATGAGTCCAGAGTATATCCTTACTGATGTGAAATTTAGTCAACAATCAGCTCGAAGCATAATTTGCTACGCACAGATTGCTGCTGAAATATGTTTTCATTCGCATCAATGGAATTTTCGTACTCATATATCTTTGTCACATTCAATACTAAATGCAATTGAGTTTCTTACTGGTATCTTGGTTCCGGAGTGGTTATAGTTTGTAGAGCTGTGGCTCCTCGAACATGGAACATAGTCAAGTCCCTACAGATACCTTTAGCTACGCTAGGGTTTGGTACCTAACTCCTGGCTGGCTTGCACTTCAGACTGTTCCACACGACTTTATATACTTAGTAATGACTTCAGAAGCTGTCATTCTCCTAAAGTTAATGATTTGACCGGTACTTTAATAACAGGCCTCTGCAATGTTTTGAATTGGTGATCACTTCATGATCATCGGTACTTTCTGTTTCGAAGTTGGGTTTATTATTTGTACGTTACAGGAGAAGACTATGCAGTCTCTCTGGGAGTATAATGTTTGAGGTTTGTGTTTAGAAATGGTTGAGTTGCCAGAATTCACTCTAGAGTCAAGTTGTTAAACTTCAAAATCTTGTGAAGCTGCAGGTGTAATCAATTTTGCACTATCAGCATGATTAATTAATTTTTGAAAGGGGCAGTGACTCGTGATCTTTTTCACAAAATTTGAGAACTGAACAAAACCTTTAAAGACTGTGGATGCTAAGTAGTAAATTTTCTACTGTCCAATGATGGCAGTTCCGCAGTAAGTTCAAATCATCCCTAGATTTTGAAAAATGTAGTTGTTGAGTTGTCCACTATGTAGACGTTTTCATTCACTGCGTCTAGATATCAATGGCTAACGAAAAATATTGCTTATCTGCAAACTGACAATTTTCCAGAATCAAGAGAAAACTTCACCATTTTTTTAATTTTAAGGATAGATTCGCAATTTTTTCTTACAACGTCATCGAGGTGTTCCTCCTCAGAATTGGAAAAAACTAAAATCACCAGCTCCCTTATTTTATACTGTAGAGTGTGGCAAAATCGCCAACTCACTTTCAGCCAAATTGGATCGCGTAAGGCAGAGAGGAACCAAGTTATATCAGGTATTGCCAAATTTAACTGGGCAATTTCATTTTTTACAAGAGAACTTTTGTGCTGGTTTTTTTAAATTTTTGCCTCGCACTATGTAGATAATTCACATCACAAGAAATTTGCACAAAAATCAGTGCAACCGTTTTCATGTAAAAAATTAAATTACCCTATTAAATTTGACAATAGCTAATGTGACTTGGTTCCTTTCCTTCCTGCTTAACGCGGTCCAATCGTCTGTTAGGCGGTATCGTTTGTTAGCCTGCGATATGGAATTATAAAATTTTAAATCCTTTTAAATACACGGAAAAAAAAATTGCTGATTCAACAATTCAATTACTAAAAACAGTGAGCGCAATGTTTCAATGCAGATTTTACAACAAAAAAATGCTACTTTAACCACATTGTGAACTAATTTAACCACGGGGGTGGTTAAAGTAGCATTTTTTGTTGTAAAATCTGCGTTGAAACATTGCACTCACTGTTTTTAGCAATTGAATTGTTGAATCAGCAATTTTTTTTTCCGTGTAGGCTCTTAACGTCAGGACTTCCACAGTCAGGGAATACCGGGAAATGTTGGGGAATTTAAAAAGTCAGGGAAAATGACGAAAATTTCGAAATGTCAGGGAAAATTTTTCAAATCACCTTTATTTGCTTCCTAGACCAGGTTTGACGTTTCAAACCACAGATTTTGAGTGAAAACTATTTGAAATTATGTCTTTTTGACCATCAAGCGTACCTTCAATTTTCAGGGAATTTTACCAAAATGTGACAGGGAAATCAGGGAAATGTCAGGGAATTTCAATTTCATCATCCTGTGGTAACGCTGTAAACGATTTTTTTAAAGGAATTTCCCATCGCACCAGCGTTCACTGGGAAAAAAACACATTGGATCTAGAGTCCAGACTCTTAAAAACATCGACAAGAAAAAATACTCTTGATTCAGTTGGATATTTGCTTAAATCAAGAACCAAGCCTCTTAATTTGAGCGGATTTCCTTTTGATTTTAGCAAAAATCTGATTGAATCAAGAGTATTTTTTCTTGTCAATGTTTTCAAGAGTCTGGACTCTAGATCCAATGTGTTTTTTTTTCCAGTGTTATCTGCTATCATATCTGTCGTTCCCGGGAAAACAGCAAGGCCAATCTCAACTTCGCACGAAAAATTTGAATACTTCGCCGA